GGCCTGTTCTTCTTCTTGCTGTTATTTTGTACTTTCTCCTACATATCAACCAAGAAACTATAAGTGGCATGAGTATGTGTGTTACAGTGAGAACAATGAATGAGTGTGTTTGGCAGAATGGGAGGTGAAATACTGTAAATTCTCAAATAAAACCAGAACTATAAGGGCATTTGAAAGGCCATTGCCAAAAAGTGAAAAATGGAGTGTGTATCCACCTCTTGATTTGGATCTCCTCCAACTGTTCACAGGTTCTTCTTTAGCCAATGTTACATCCTTCCACCAATTTTCATGAAAATCAGGTCAGTCATTTTTCTGTAATACTGTATATTCTCAAATAAAACCAGAACTGGAAGGTCGTTTGCCAAAAAGTGAGAATTGGAGTCTGTATCTGCCTCATGATGTGGATCTTCTCTGTGGATGTTCTCAAGTTCTTGCTTAGCCATTGTTACACTGTTGCACCAATTTTCTTGAAAATCGGGCCATTGGTTTTTGTGATGAAACTGAACCAAAAGCATGACCTCCTTGGCCAAAGACACAATGACTGAGATCAGTTTAAATTCCATCGTTTGAGGTTTAAACATCCAAATGTAAATGAGGTCGTGCTTTTTTGTATGTTTTACCCTTACATGACCAACTCTGCAACATTAAAAGATCTTTCACAAATCAAATATTTTTAATATCTACCATTTATCCCGCATGATTAGGAGAATGCAGCTTTAGCCCCTTAGATTTGTGCCTTGTTAGCTAAGTTATATTGCTATTAGCTTAGCTACCTGTACATTTTGTGTACTAATGTTAGCTGTCGTTCACAAACTACTGAGAACATAACTTTTTTAGATAATGTGAAGCCAATGTAAGAACAAGGATTGATCAAAAAAGCTAAATAAAAGACAGTTTTTTATATTCTTGTATCTCATTATGATGGAAAAATCAAAGTAAATAAGTGTCTTCCAAAAGTAGTGAGATGGTAAAACGGAACCACAAGAAGGCTTTTAATGTGAAACAAAAGGAAGTTATCAATGATCAGTAAAACAAACTATTATCATATGAAGTTGGGAATATCAAATTCCTGTAAATGTTTCACAATAAAAGTCTTCCAAGGGTAGTGAAGGTATTATAGGCAAAAAACAATTGTAAAGCTTTTAAAATAGATCAGTAAAAATGGATCTGATCAAATGCACACAAGTCATTTTTCCAAACTAGTTTTCTACTTAAGCCTGGAGCCACTGTTTGAGAATTTACAGTACGTCCTGTTTTATTTTTTCAATCCTATTTTTCCAGTTGTGAAAAGTGTTCTTTGTTTCCTCGAAGCTGCTATCCCTGTACTGTGTAGATCGGAGAAGTCCAGCCTTACCCCTGAAGTCCTACAAACACCCTCCGTTAGCTCTCCATACCTCACACCAACACACTTTATTATCATCAACTGAATAATAATAATTAAAATGCATCGGTGGTTCAGTTTGTGCCTTTCAGGGAATCATCGTTTTGCTTTTGAGGAGTTGTGTTTTCATTCAAAAAGATTCTGTTTTACGTTGTGTTCAGGAAAAGTAGATTTATTTAAGATGCATGTCTGTTTCTTTATCCAATATATTACTGTAAAGGTGAAACAGTATTTGTTTAACAAGTATGTATACACCCATAAGTGATGATTGAACATATCAATTTAAAACTTTATTATGTGGCACAAGATGTTTGGGACCCAATAGGAATGTCATTCATAAGAATTATCTGACTGCACACGTCGACACCTGTGAAGAAAAGAAACCGTGTGTCTTGTTCCATATCAAGATTTATTCCACAGATAATCAAAATAAGACAAATGTCTCTTACCTTCACCTGAGGTAGATCGTTTGTGCTTTTATTGTTAGATCATAGGATAAAAGAAGAATTAGGTTGGAGATAACATTGATTATCAAACCAATGGTTTTGTAACTTGTTTCCTCCCAAATGCATCATATTCGTATGATAACGAGAGTAATAGGTACATTTGCTGTATAGTACACTTTTGAAGTACTTTACTTGGGTATATAATGAACACATTAAATATAATGTACTATGATAAGTTAAGCTACCCAGCAGTATTTAAAGTCATCAACATGAGCTCTGTTTTCACAAGCTCAAAAATATGTGGTTGAATCTGCAGGAGAGCTAGTTAACGTTAGCTGTTAGCTGCTAGCTTTTAGCTGTTAGCTGTAAGTTATTAGCAGTGGGTAAACGAGGTTCCATATTGTTGGTCTGAGTTCAAGCTCTATTCAGTTCAAATTAATATTTAGCTAAGGTAGCCTATAACATTAGTATTATTACGTGTTGTCAAGCATATATCTTTTGAGAAACTTGAATAAATTGAGTTTTTATAAAAATGACGACCTGTTAAAGTTGCTTACAAAACCAGTATGCTAACGGTAACTCAAGAGATGTTAAATAATTTTTTTTGTTTATAAATTCTTTGTCAATCTGGTATCAAGAATCCTACTGTTTCACTGATATGAGTATTGATGATAACACAGTCATTCACATTTATAAATGGACAAAATGTAAAACCTGAGATCCCGTCAGAGGCACAAACTGGATCTTACGGTCCACAAATCGTTTTTGTTTCAATCAAATCAAACATTTTGCAGCATTTCATAACATTTCTTGAAAAGCGACTGTTTGTAGGCATACCTGCAAAGTGAATTTATTATTTATTTTTATTTTTTGTAATGCATGGTTTTGATTGCACACCGCCCTTCGTTCATATCCACCCGGGGGTGTTGTGTCCTGCCAACATGTAGTGGAGGTAGTTTCCTTTCTGTGTGGAGTCCGTATAGACTTTGCTGCCTGTTGCGTGTGAAATACCCGTGAAGCTGCCTCCGTCCACATGAAGTACCTTTATACCAACACCGATCCCCAAAACAAAACGCTGCCAAATTGGTCTGAATAAGCCAAAAGTTTGTTCTGACGTTCTCTGTGTATAAGTGGTATAAGTGTATCACATGTTAAACCTCATCCCGTTTAATGTTACATTGTGTTTTTAACAAAAAAGAATCCTGTTTGTTAAATTGTTGATAGTATATGCAGAAGAGTTATGAAATAAACTGAAACAAACTCAGATGTGTGTCAGCTGTTAATTGCAGTGGCGAGCCGTGAGCTTTATACCTAGGCCCTCTGACCCCCACCCCTTCCTTCGAAAAAAAGACGTTATTACGTCACAGCATATTCTTCAGCGGAATATCAAAACAACGGCCCAGGGTGCAAAACGCATCAATGACAGCGACCCTCTACCACACAAAACAACACCTGTGAACCCAATTTGTGTTCTTTGACATTGAAAAGGATATTGCATTGTGTTTGTTACTTTCATTGCAGTTGTATGTCTTAAGTGTAATTTGGCATGCTTTTATTTTGAAGGCGAGTTCACGCTGTTGACAGGAAGTTGTTGTTGCTATGGAAACAAGAAAAGTTTCACAGCGGGCGGAACTCGTCATAAAGTCCGCGATAATAAAACCCACCCATTTAGAGGGAAGATATGATTGGTCAATTGTACTGTCATTTGACATTACTCTCTCGTTCAGTTACTATAGCGGGCCCTCTGTGAATCACAGAGAGGCCCGCTATAGTAACTGACATTCAAACAGAGACTGAACAGGCAGATTCGAAGGATTTATTTCTTTGGAAATGTCATTTTATTAAATCAAGTTTTTTTTCGGTAAAACTAATGAAAAATATAACAAAAATAATATTAAAAAAATATATATTTTAAAAAAATATATTTTTTTTTAATGTTTTTAAATATTATTTTTTGGAATATCTTAGGCCCTCACAGAGGGCCTAGAGGGCCCTGACGGCTCGCCACTGGTTAATTGTTTTTCCACCGGATGGAGACATTTTCTCTCTCAGTGTCAAAGGATTTATTTGATGAGGTTATTTGATTACGTAAACACACGTTGACACTACAGATGGATAGGGTATACAATATAACCAACACAAATAATGGTTTATGGTTTAAAGTCAGTAAAGTAGATGTACAGTAAAAAAATTATCAAACTACTTTTCACTGTGAACTTTTATTTTGAAGGCATCTCTAAAAATAAATAAATAAATAGAACAATAAATACATGCACACATTATGAACACTGCACTTCAAAATAAAAGTTTAGTATAACTTGACTAAACTTGAACACACATTTCTTTCTGTCTGGCAGTGGCTCAGTCAGAGCCGTAGGGTCGCCGGTTCAAGTCCCCGACCAGACCTAAATATGGAGTGTGGACTGCTACTTGGAGAGGTCCCAGTTCACCTCCTGCCCTGCCGTGGTGCCCTTGAGCAAGGCACCGGACAACCCCCTTCCCCCCTCACTCCCATTGCTCCCCGGGCGCTGTCCAATAGCTGCCCACTGCTCCTAGTGCTAGACTCCTGGTACTAGGATGGGTTAAAAGCAGAGAACACATGTCACTGTGTGCTGTGTGCTCTGCATGTGAGACCATTACAGAGGGGTTCATCTCTCCCTCCCATTCTATTCTATTCCGGATTACATCCACTAGATGGTGACATTAGAGCCTCAAACAAAAGCACATAACCAATGGAAAACATAAATATAAATGTACTGTTAAAACACAGAACCTAATAAGAATAATGTTGAAAATACTACTACCAAAGATTAATGATGCCAGTTAAAAAAAGATATGAGAAGGATTAAGTTAAATATGAAAAGTAATTAAACATAAAAACGTAAAGAATATAAACAAAAAATCTATTATATTAAAATGAATCAATAAAACTTAATTGGGAGCAATATGCAATTATTCTCAAAAATATAAAATATACTTTCACCATGTGTCTGTTTTCAAAATGGTTATAGCATATTAAAGGTAAATGTTGAAAACCTTTCACTTTCACCAACCAACAGCTAAGCACTAACGTCATTTTCCAGCCAGCCAATAGCAGAGGGGCAACCGCACAGTACTATTTGCATACAAGGGTATAAGTAGGAGTAGCGTACCGCCCCTTTCCTCACTTTTCGGAGAAGTCCAGAATCGTAATCATGCCTGAGCCACCAAAAGTTCCAGTACCCAAAAAGGGCTCCAAGAAAGCGGTCACCAAGACCGCCAGCAAGACCGGCAAGAAGAGGAGAAAGTCCAGGAAGGAGAGCTATGCCATCTACGTGTACAAAGTGATGAAGCAGGTGCACCCCGACACCGGCATCTCCTCCAAGGCCATGGGCATAATGAACTGCTTCGTGAGTGACATCTTTGAGCGCATCGCCGGGGAGGCCTCCCGTCTGGCTCACTACAACAAGCGCTCCACTATCACCTCCAGGGAGATCCAGACCGCCGTCCGCCTGCTGCTCCCCGGAGAGCTGGCCAAGCACGCCGTGTCTGAGGGCACCAAGGCCGTGACCAAGTACACCAGCTCCAAGTAACCTGCTGCCGCTACTGCTACAAACCAACGGCTCTTTTAAGAGCCACCCACTTCATCTACTGCTGCCATCCTTAGATGTATCCATGATGTGTAATTCAATTATGTAAACTCAGCAGTCATGTTTAAATTAATATTTTAATTTGAAAATTATGAATATGTATAATAAACGCCCAGTGACAAAAACAGCTCTTGTTTTGTATTTATTTATATTTGCTAGTAATCCAGAACATGGAATAGTCCTATCTCAATGATAGTCAAATAAACCCCATGTTTTTAATTGGTATGTCATTTGGATTTAACCTGCTTCAAATTTGCTGTTAGATTAGAGCAAACTAGTAATCTATGAACATTATATTTACTTTGAGCACTCTGACTAGCATTTTATAATGAATGTTAAAGTGCAAATAAACTACTTTCTGGTAAGCCCAAAGAATACAAAATATTACAGTAACGTTGCATATCAGTCTGAATGTTGTAAATACAATAAGATATCCAAATGTAAAGTAACAGAAAACCATACAACTAAAGAAAACCTTATGAGGGAAAGTGATACTGATTAGTAACTACATGTAAACTGTGTACATCATAGTTTTATGTATTTAAATTAAGATTTTCATTGGTGTTTAAATATTGCAAAATGAAAATATGATAAACTATAACACAATAGTAAAGTGAGGTATAAGATATAGACTAGTATAAGGTGCTATATATTGTTAGTAATACCAACCGTATACAATAGTACAGTATGATACAAGTAGAAAGTATTTTCTTTTTGGTAATGTTAAATGCAATAAATGATATCGATGATTAACAGTAGTGATGGCGAGATGAAGCCTTATGAAGCTTTGAAGCTTTCCAGCCAATTGGTTCGCAAAAGGGTTCATCTCATGAGGCTTCATCATGGGCTTCATTTGAACACAAACCCCCCTGTTGGTCAAAGTGTGTAAAACAGGCAGATTTGACATTTCAATAGTGTACTCTATCTCATACCGAGTTCCCAATGAGTAAAGCCTTAGAATAACTCTTAACAACGAACATAAAATCATATTTTCATGTTAACAATATTGTTTTTATTCCAGTTGAATGATTGTGATTGAAAAGCCTAAGGAGGCTGGTAAACATTGCAAAGAGGGATTTGTATTCCTTAATAATATTCATAAACGTAACCATGTTGTAGCCTGAGAAAGGCTAAACCGTATCAAAGAATACATTTATTAACTACATTATCTCATTTAGCTGTAGCTTTTATAAACAACAAAAAAGACGTATTGTTCAGTCGTTGAACCAGGGACCCTGCGGTGTGAGTCAATTGCTTTCCAGCTGAGCCACAGCCCGCACACAGAATCTCCTTGAAAACACTCCATCGTATTTATTCCTGTATTTATTCATGTTCCTACATTTATTTATGCTTGTATCTATTTATACTTATGACATGTTCCGACCTCTATATAAGTGAGGGTCTGAGCTCTTTTAGTTCCATCGTGTCACCAGCGGACCCGGGTACAGGAGGGGTAATATGGTTCTTATTATACATCCATGGGTATTATGAGCAGCGTTGAGGTTCAACGGTTCAACCGATCTGAATCGCTTTCTGAAGCAGTCACGTGGTATCGACAGGCAGCGAGGCTTCGTTTGTCATCGATGACGTCACTGGCCCAAAACGATACAAGCCTCGATACATGCTTCACAAAAAGCTTCGGGGATTACTCGACACACGCTCCGAAGCCTCGGCACAATACGTAACATCACTAATTAACAGCTGAATATGGTGCCGATTAAACACTGGAGTAATCAAAGATTGACCCATAACCCAGATCGGCAATTGCACAACTTTAAAGTGAAATAACCGTTGAAGCGTTTTCTGTTGTTAGCTTGTTTTTTCCCGCTGAACTGATCTCAACCACGTCCGCAGAAGGACTATAAGTACCCACGATCTCCACTCCACAGCAAGTTCATTCACAGTTTCAACAGAACTCTGCAAATATGTCAGGAAGAGGCAAGGGCGGAAAATAATTAAAATAATAAACAATGAGAGGTTAATATCAGGAACACAAGTTGTCCATGCGCCCAAAATAACTGCCATCGCCTAAGCAGACGATGTCACCGTTATAAAAAACCAACAAGAAATTGATGTTCTAACAAACCACCTAAACTTATATGAATTGAACTACAACAAAACTGAAGGTGTTTGAATCGGCACCGACGATGCCAAATGAGACATAAACATTCAAGTGAAAAAAGAAATTAAAATACTTGGAATAACTATTTGTAGCGACAACTGTGCTGAACTCAATTGGGAGAACAAACTAAGTGAAGTCAAAGAACAAGTTAAACAATGGGAGAATAAAAATAAAAATTATAAATCAAGAATAAACATAATAAAATCATTCATACTTAGCAAGATCCTTTTTCTAGCAAACATTTCCCCCCCACCAAACCAAATAGTTATGCAATTAAACAAACAGTGTGTCAATTTGGTGTGGGGTACAACAAGGGAGGTTACTAAACGTAATTTGTTATTTAAAAGTAGGGAATATGGAGGCCTGGGAGCCAATGCATTTTTTTTCTGTCTTTGTACATCACTTCCACCTGGAGGTTTTAATGCTTTACAAATAAAGCTATATTGTTTCTTAAGTGCTGCAAATATAATAATGTATGTACAGTGTGTATATACGAATGAGAATAGGTTGAATTACCAAGTAGGTTAACACATACAAGGAATTTGCTTTGGTATATTTGGTGCATACAAAGACACAGAATGAAGAAAACCTAGCAAAATAATTAAAATAAAATAGAACTATGTACATTTTGAGAAGACATACGCTATGGATCTTTATGAATACAAATCACAATACCTTAACTAGTCCCACAGATGGAAAAATGTACAGTGTTTCAGCATACAGGCGGCAGACCGACCTGTTTTCTGATTCGACGATCACAGTTACGGGTCAATCTGACCAATGAGCGTACAGCTGCGCTCCTATATAAGCTGGTGAGAACTGTGATCGAGTTACTCTCTTCTTAACGTCGAAGAACAATAACATAGAAAATGTCTGGTCGAGGCAAAGGTGCAGGAAAGGTTAGGGCGAAGGCCAAGACTCGCTCATCCCGTGCCGGGCTCCAGTTCCCCGTCGGCCGTGTCCACCGGCATCTGAGGAAGGGTAACTATGCTCATCGCGTCGGTGCCGGAGCCCCGGTGTACCTGGCCGCTGTGCTGGAGTACCTGACCGCTGAGATCCTGGAGTTGGCTGGAAACGCCGCCCGGGACAACAAGAAGTCCCGTATCATCCCCCGCCACCTGCAGCTCGCCGTCCGCAACGACGAGGAGCTAAACAAGCTGCTGGGAGGAGTGACCATCGCTCAGGGAGGCGTGCTGCCCAACATCCAGGCTGTGCTGCTGCCCAAGAAGACCGAGAAGCCCGCCAAGAAGTGAACACCCTGAACCCGCTTCAACAAACACCCCAAAGGCTCTTTTAAGAGCCACCCACATCCAACTAAAGAACATTTCCCTCTTCACTACACAACTACTTAAAGGCCCAGAACAGCCCTATATGTATTGAGGTGCACAACATGTGGTATATTTATGGGCATAGATATGTCTCATAATTATTTGTGTGAACAGAAAAATAATTTGTGTGTAAATATGTGATTTGTAAATGTAAAACACCATCCACAAATGCATTTAAAAGATTTGCAAACTCACAAATAAATTTGCAAATGTAAAACGGATCTGCAAATACGCTAAATATTTTCACAAATAAAAAAAAGATCTGTGAATATCTCTTTAACATTGACAACTTTCGATCAGGCATTTGTGAATCCATTTTGTATTTGTCAACCAAAAATGCGCTTGCGGATCTCAAATCTCTGCTTGTGGATCTCAAATCTCTGCTTGTGGATCGTCTTTTTACACACACGGAATTTTGAGACATACTTTCCGCCGGTCTCGGCAAAAAATCTACTCGTGTCACTCGGTTGTTTTCGGAAACCACGTGATGGCCTGCTGATGACAACATTTCCGCATGATTTCAAAGTAAGAGCATGATGGTTTGTTTAATACTCTGTTTTTGTATTATAATGAACAGCGGAACGTTAGATGCATTCTTCATCACCATCATCATCATGTTATAGTGATACAGTTAGTTTGTGTTAGTTTATTGGTTCAATACAGCATATATCGAGCACATTCGTATGCATTGATGTTGAAGTACAGGCTCTGCCACTTTCGGGTCCCGGGGGAGCTGGCAGCGAAGCAGCCCAGAGGAAACTCTTTCTTCATTGTTTTTTGTGTATTCAGTCAAGCGGGTCAAAGTTACAAAGCACTTCACATCTTATTAATCGGCCTAGTTTTACCTTACCAGTACAGATAAGGTCATCTGTAAAAAAGCACCGTATTTAGGTTAGCCTTCATAGTAAGGCTACATCAAATGTTATAATATTCATTGTGTCCTTTCTACTGTATATGCATATATTCCTGTCTATTGCTTTCATTTGTATTTCATGTTATTATGTTTATACTTGTTTCCACACATTTCACAATTTGGGATGAATGAAGTATCTATCTATATGTCCGTCTGTCTGTCTGTCTGTCTGTCTGTCTGTCTGTCTGTCTGTCTGTCTGTCCGTCTGTCCGTCTGTCCGTCTGTCCGTCTGTCTGTCTGTCTGTCCGTCCGTCCGTCTGTCTGTCTGTCTGTCCGTCTGTCCGTCCGTCCGTATAATATAATATATGTGAACTTCGTAATTTGAAAAATGATTGATTCGAAAATGATATGCTGCTACAGTACAGTACAAGTAGCCTACTTCTGGGTGTTTCATTCAAGCTCGGCTCCGTGTGCGTCTGTGTGGCACGAGAGAGAGAGAGAGAGAGAGAGAGAGAGAGAGAGAGAGGAGAGAGAGAGAGAGGAGAGGAGAGAGGAGAGAGAGAGAGAGAGAGAGAGAGAGAAGAGAGAGCAGAGAGAGATAGAGAGAGATGAGGAGAGAGAGAGAGGAAGATAGAGAGAGATGAGAGAGAGAGAGAGAGAGAGAGAGAGAGAGAGAGAGAGAGAGAGAGCAAGATTGTTGTTGCTGCGCTAACCGATATTAGAAGCTGTTTCTACAACTTAGTGAAAGGAAAGTCCTCTCCTGTCAGATAACGTCAGCTCAGTGAGCTAAAGGACTCTCAGTGTTTAGATAGTTCACTTTAGTC